CTTTTTCAGCCTAACTCCATCCCCGCTGCTCCTTCTCACAAGACTTTCAGGCGCTCTTACTCTCCCAGGTAACAAGCCACCTGTTATTCCAACCTGTCAGAGGTGTCACAATGTTATTTACCTTTTGGCGCAGATGAGTGCTTTCAAAGAGACAGATCCAGGGGATGTGGAAAGAGGCAGCACTTTTTGCCTTTATAGATTTTACCTGTGAAGAAACCCCAAGTGGTAGATAACCACAAGACCAGAATTAAGTTATATTGAACTTTTAGTTAGACACTGTAACTACACCTTCCAGATGTGCTTGTCTACAATTCCCATGATCTCTATATAGCAAGACTGGCTGGAAAATAAAAATTTGAATGTCACGCATGAAGACACCAGGTTGCAAACCTTTAGCATAATACTACAACTGTCTTAGCAGCTGAGAGGAATAGTCAACCACTAGGATCTAGTTGACATTTTATATGCACACTTGTTGGCTGTGTACAGCTTCCCAGTCAAAGAACTCATTTGGAGAAATATAGAACTAGACTCATTCATTTTTTATGTCACTTCCTACCCTACTCGCCCCACTTGCCATGTGGTGGTATTCCAGTTTTATTTGTTGAACTTCACATGCATAAGACTGGTCTTTGCATTTGTGCCCAGCCTCTGTTTGAATTGGTGGGCACCTGTGGAATTTTGACATGTTATGTCTTGAAAAATTATTGGGAGAAGTGATTGCCCATTTATAAAATGGCTATATTGGGAACATAACCAATCCATCATCAATTTCTTAGAATTCTACTTGCCACTTCCTTCTTTTGCATTTTCATGCTTATGGTTGCCATATTAGGTAAGCAAAGAAAATTTCCCAACAAAGTATAAGCCACCCATCTTTTCCAGCTTTAATGAATGATTAGCAGGCCCAGCATCATTCTTGTAAATAAAGACGATATTAAAGTTGATGCTTTGCAGCATGCCATTTTCCCATTATTAATGAAAATTATATTTTAAAAAGACAACTGGGGCAGGAAGCTGCTGAGATTCCAAGGAAAATGTCTGCGGACACATTGAACTTCTGAGACCTATCTAGGAAACCCCAGACCCTTTAGTTAAGAAAATTAATCATAAATTACAATTGTCAACCATGACAAAATTATACTATTTGCAACAAAAGAGATTGCTTATTACATAATAGCATTTCAAGTTGCAAATGGCTATATGAAAGCATAAATCTGTTTTTAAACAGTGTTTAGATGCATATTGTGCACATGTGTTATTGGCCAAGTTGAGATTTCCTGGCATTTGTCCATTATTATCCCTGTTTGTATAAAACACTTACTTGTACAGCTATCAATATGAAGATTCAGTAGATCTTAATCTTCATATTTGTTAGCAACGCTTGAGGATATAATTACAACATCAGTGCCTGAAAAAGTGTGAATATATCATTGCTTGCAGTGATAGGTATCTAGCTGTGCAAGAACAGAACAATGAGAACACTGAAAGAGACACAAAACTATTCTTAATTATAGCAGATAGAAATCTACAATATTATTCTATTTACATTACTCTGTGTGAAAATAAAATTAGGACATCAATAAACAAAAATGATTTATGATATAGATTTAGGTTTTTGTCCTTCAACCAAATGTGATGAAGATTACTGATATTTAAAAGAAATTTCCTTTGTTTTATAGACCAATTATGGTTTTATACTTAGGACATACATGTAGAGTCCCAGACATTGGCAAGTTCTGAATCCTGAAGGCTGTACTTGTTGGAAGCTGTGGCAATGGAAAATAATATTGTGACATCAATTAAAAGTCACACATTTTTTCCTCATCTCTTTGTTCTTCTTGTAACTTCTCCAATTTTATGCATGAATCACTCACTGTTTTCTATTGTATAAAATTGATAGAATGTAATTTATTCATTGTAAATTGATCTTCCATTTTTCATTTTTCTTTCTTTTATTTTCACATTATCTACAATATTTCATACAGTTCTTATACTGGCTAAATGTATTTGCTTGTTCATGTGATTAGGTTTTTTTAAAGAAACAATACACCAAAATTGTTGTTCTTTTTTTTGTGAGATATTTTCTTATTCTCAGGTTAAAAAAAAATAGGCTCTTCCCTCGTAGACTTTGGATGCCATTGATATTTGAAGGTTTCTACTGAAATCTATTCCACTTAACAAGTAATAGGGAATAATCCATACATTTGCAAAACAGTAGTCCAAATTACTATTTTACAATAATGCATACTGTTTGAATGCACTCCTAATTGCTTTGTTAGGAAAAGTTTGGTGGGTTTTTTTTCTTTTTTTCTTTTTACTGGAAAACAAGGACTATCATTCAAAATAGGCCCTTTTTTCTGTTTGCCATACTAATATGCAAACTGCAAAATGAGCATTGTAATGCAAACTGAGTTTCTGGTGGCTCTATCATTTTGCTGTCAATATACAGTACATAGCGTTCAGTTCCTTACTTTGAGGAGCATAACAATCTAAAAATTAGTATAAGGAGGAAACATCAGGTAGAGGCAGTGATAATAAACCAACAGTGGGTGTGCAAGCGATGCTGAAAAGGTTTGTTGAAAATAAATCCACTTTGTAGCTGAAAAGGATTGATAATTGATTTGAATTATTGGGGTTGGAGTTATTTTGCTTCTTTTACGATTCGACTGTATGAATATTAAGTATATTGATTCAGATTCTCAGACCCATGCTTGTAGTTTAAGGAACACTAATAATAAGGTGTGTATGTCTACCTTTCTGTATTCATCTGGTCAATCAATAGGAAAAAAAAATACTACTATTGTTATGTAGAGAAATATTGTTGAGAACTAACAGCACAAAATATTGTTAAGGAAGAATTGCCATAATCTTAACTATCAAGGAATTATAAAACTTCCTCTTTGATTTATGATTTATCTCATATAGAATCTATGAATGTTTGTTGCTTCTCTGACTTGAAAGGGCTACAGAACAGCAAGCTGTCACATGTTGAGATTTTAGGATGTGCGGTATTATTGCTTTGCCAAAACACCAGATGTACATTCAGTCCTGCCAGCGTTACTTGGGCTGTGCTGCTGAAAAGAGTACACTGAAAGAAAGTCAGGGACTGGAACTGTTTCCATGAGATATAAATCTTGTTTTTGGCAAGTAGTTTTAAATAATGAAATACTAGTTTTCAAAATAGATTATCATTTTGTGAAATATTCTCTTAGCAGAGATAGAATTTTGATCTTGTAGTATAGGAGGAACTCTTTAATTGTAGGCCTGTTTCTCTGGATCCAGAGTTAAGCTTTCTGTGTTATTCACAGTCTGCCTACCTTATATACAGTATACAGCAACTCACCAGCTGCAGAATAGAGAGCAATATTTAGTTTTATGATTATTTTCCCAAAGTCATTAAGTGAATTTGGTTTCCCCAATTGACTTTGTTTGTTGGAAGCTGGCTGAGAAGGTTGCAGATTGTGATCATATGACTGGAAGATGCTGCAACTGTCATAAATATGAACCGGTCGCCAAGCTCTCAAATTGCAATCACATAACTGTGGGAGTGGTGTGATGGACCCAACCTCAAAGACGGTAGTGATTTACTTTTTCTGCGGCCACTGTAACTTTGAACCATCATTAAACAAATGGTTGTAAATTAAGTACTAGCTATATTTAGGTTTTAATTTCTAGCTTATCAGTTACCTGGATTTTAAATAATAGTGTTTTGAACTTTAGCCTAAAAAGAGTAGACAGCCTTTCATTCCTGCCTTCCAATTTTTTTTAGTAGAACCCTTAGATTATGCTTAGTGTTTCATATTTCACTTAGGTTGCTGAAGTAGTAATGTGACTGATCTGGTTAAAACACCAATGATAGACCAAATAAAATTTAGCCTTAATTCTGATATTTGAGAAACCTCATCTTATATAATTAAGGAAGAAAGGAATTAAATTATATTAGTATTTTTTGTAATTCTAGAGTATTTTATGGTGGTCTCTTAGGGAAAAAAATTCACATAGAGCAGGGGTGTCAAACTGCTGGCCCGCAGGCCGGACGCATCATCGGGAAGCCATGCCCACCCCATTGCCGGCAATGTCAAAAAAGCTCCAATACGTTGCGCGACGTCATGTGACATCGCGAGTTTGATATGTCTGACATAGAGGAAATGCTTTTTCCAGCAAGCATAAGAAAAAAAATGACTAGAGGAAAATGAGAAATTGCTGATAGATTTTTATTTAAAAATAATTAAGGTGTAATAATTTAGATTTTTTGATCTGGATTCCTTGCAGAATAAAATTTAAATCCAAACATTAGTTTAAATCCTTCTTACCTTGAGTCTGCAGTACCATAGGTAACATTTTCAGCATCACTGATGATTAGTTTTATTGCTATTTTTTATTTATTATCATATATTTGAAGCTACATTTCAGGAAAAAAATACTAGAACTTCTTTATTCCATGGGGAAATAGTCCATTTTAATGTGCCTTTGGATTTTTTATATAGGAGAATGTATTTAACATCTTGGGAAGCATTAAATATAATATTTGTTCAGTTAAAGACATGCTGGATGTTCATGTTCATCATGGAACTGTGGCAGCACAGTCAGTCAGTTTTCTTGTTACTTAATATTTTTTATCCCACTGGATAGAAAAAGGGTTCAAGAGAGATCAGTTCAAAGCTAGAAAAGAATGGTATGATTTGTAAGTTACCATTTATATCTAACCCAGGGCAAGATGTTTCTTCTCTGAATAATAAATATACAGCCCTTACTCTCTTGGTCAAATGATGAGGTCCAGTACTGTTGCTATCTAATTATAAGTTTAATTTCTGTAGTTTTTATACATTCTGGAAATTAACATCTGAGTTCCTGCTGCTCTGGCTGAAAAATCTTCTGAAAGTTGCATGTTTTAAAATTGAATTTCAAATGTTGACTTTTCAAATGAGAAAATGTCTAATTCAATCTCAAAGCAGCCACTATTTAATTTTAACATTCCGTGTATGTTCGTTCTTCAGCATGCTGGATTATGACACGGAAAACCTAAATTCTGATGAAATTTATAGCTCTCTTCGTGGAGTCACAGAAGCAATTGAAAAGTTTAGTTTTCGTAGCCAAGAAGATCTAAATGAGCCAATCAAACGTGATGGAAAGAAGGACAGTGATATTGTAAGTAGACATTGGAAAAATGTGTAATGTTTGTGTGATATGTAATAATTGAACATTTACATGAATAGTTTCATATTTTGAGCATTTCCTATATTGTTTAGTTTCAAGCAAACAACACGTGGGTGATTGAGTTTGTCAGCTGGGCATTTTTATATATAATAGTTTGACCAGATCTGCTGGATTGTGTAGAAGAACAAGAGGCAGAGCCTGGGGGCAGAATCAAAAGAGGAATCAGACGGGAATTGTTAAGTTCCCACAAGCGAACCAAATTGAATTCTTGAATTCTGTTAAGTCTTATCTAGCACCAATTTAGTGCTGCCTGTACTTGATTAGATTCTTGTGTATAGGCTTGAGCAATTAATTTGATTGGAAGTAACTTGTGATTCTTTGTGCCTGACAGAATACTATAGTAATAACATATTTTAGGAGTATCAGTTTGAGGTATGCTGATGTACACTTATATACAGTATACAGTATATATACAATATTGTTTCATTTTTAAAAAATATAACTATTTCCTTTTCTTTATATTTGCCATTCCTGCAGTGGAGAACATGATGGGAAAATCATAATTTTTTCCTATAAAACTAAAATATATACATTTTTTGTACTGAGTTGTAAAATAATATCATTCTTCTTATCACTAGAATCAAGTGCTTGATATATAGTAATTCTGTGCTCAAAAAAAGGAAGGGAATGGAGTATGCATGCTTGTATAGGTAGCTGTCTTGAGCCTATTCCGAGTACTTGCTCACACATAAATGTTCTGCTACCCAAATGAAGCAGTTGGATTTATGCACAGAAACACCTAAGTGAATGAAATCCAGGGTGCTAATTGAAGCCATGCCAATTATCAAATGTTGGATTCCAAACTTTACACCTCTCCTCAACATTGGCAATAAATCCAGTTCACAGTCAATGGAATGGAATGGAATTGGAGGTCTTCTAGTCCAAATCTGTGCTCAGGCAGGAAACTCTATACCATTTCAGACAAATGATTGTCTAATCTCTTTTTAAATACTTCCAGTGCTGGAGCATTCACAACTTCTGGAGGCAAGTTGTTTCACTGATTAATTGTTCTAACAGTCAGGAAATTTCTTCTCAGTTCTAGGTTGCTTCTCTCCTTGATTGGTTTCCATCCGTTGCTTCTTATCCTGCCTTCAGGTGCTTTGGAGAATAGCTTGACTCCCTCTTCTTTGTGGCAACCCCTGAGATATTAGAACACAGCTATTATGTCACCCCTAATCCTTCTTTTCATTAAACTAGACATACCCATTTCCAGCAACCATTCTTTATATGTTTTAGCCTCCAATCTCCTGATCATCTTTGTTGCTCTTTTCTGCACTCTTTCTAGAGTCTCAACATCTTTTTTACATTGTGGTAACCAAAGCTGGATGCAGTATTCCAAGTGTGGCCTTACCAAGGCATTATAAAGTGGTATTAACACTTCACATGATCTTGATTCTATCCCTCTATTAATGCAGCCTAGAACTGTGTTGGCTTTTTTGGCAGCTGCAGCACACTGTTGGCTCATATTTAAGTGATTGTCCACTAAGACTCCAAGGTCCTTCTCACAGTTATTACTATTAAGCAAGGTACCACCTATACTGTACCTGTGCATTTGGTTTTTGTTGCCTAAATGTAGAACCTTAATTTTTTCACCATTGAATTTCATTTTGTTAGATAGCGCCCAATATTTGATCTTCCACTTGGTGCAGAGTTTGTCTCCCAGGTGATGTCAGGGTAGTTAAAGTCCCCCATTACTATTATGATGTGCTTTCTACATACCTTAGTTATCTGTCTAGCAAAAAGTTCATCTATTTCCTCTGGTTGGTTGGATGGCCTATGGTATACACCTTTGGCACTGTTATTTTTCCCCTTTTAATATTGACCCAAACACATTCAGGACAATTTTCATCATTGTTGTGCTCTATTTCTGTAGAGATATAGTTATTTCTTACATATAGTGCAACTCCACCTCTTCTTTTATTTGGTCTATTTTTTTTAAATAATTTAAATCTCTCTAGCTGTGTGTTCTATTTTTGGGTTTCATCCCACCAAGTTTCTGTAATGGCAACAATATCATATCTGCCCTCATTTACTTGACTTTCTAATTCACCCTATTTATTGCTCATACTCTGTGCATTGGTGTATAGACATTTGAGTCTTTTCTGACTGATCCTGTGTTTACTTTCTACATAACCTGTGTGGTGCCTGAATTCCCTTATTTTCTTACCACCTATCTGATTAGTGCACTTTGTGTGGCACTCGCTATTAAAACCTTGATTTTGCTTGACAGCAAGGTTGATATTCTTGTCCACACACATATCTATGTTACATGCACTGATAACCCTTTAATTTTTAGATTGCCAAGGACAAGAATGTTCTGTGTCAATTAACTCGCTGTCCCCATTGTTTAGTTTAAATGTTTCTCCAGAAAGTCTGTAAATTTAATGCCAAGTCACTCAGTCCCTTTCTGCGATGGATGCAAACCATCTCTTTTGTAAGTTTTTTATTGGACCAGTTGCAGACATCGCATACAATATAACCAAAGCCTTCCCCTTTGCACCACTCCTTTAGCCACATATTTTTGTTCCTTATATACTGGTAAAACCTCTGAAAAAATAAGCCTACAACCTATACTTACTAAGTTTCTGCCCCAAGCTCTGGAAATCATTCTGGGACAGATCATTTGTGCCAAATTGTACAATAGCATCAATATCACAGTCCTTACTGGCATTCTTTACTATCTTAGAAATATGCCTCTTGTTAGTTTAGGAGAGAGCTAAAGGATGTTATAGAATTGTTAACTTAAGGGTAATATAATTTAAGACAGAGTATAATTATTGTATCGTAAACCCTGTGTGTAGCTCTGGGAAGTCGGAGGGAAGGGAGGGGGGTGGGGAAGGGTGGGGGTTGGAGGGAGGTGGGGAGTTATATTGTAAAACTTTTAAAAATTTTCAATAAAAAAAAGAAAAGAAAAGAAAAAGAAATATGCCTCTTGTCTCTGCTGGCAGTAGCACCTGGCAGATACCTGACCTCTTTTAAAGCCTCCACATCCTTTCCTAAATTTACAACCCTTACAATTGAATCACCAACCAGAAGGTGGTTTCTCTTTTTGGATGCCTTGCTCTTCTTGCATGACTGATGTATAGTAACTGATTCTTGTTCAAAATTATTCAGCAGCTGCAGAAAGAATAACAACTTATTGGAGTGGCTACAGATGATGAAGAAAACCTACATGTAGAAACTGCCAGTTTGAAATTAGGGTTTAGTGCAGGGGTAGTCAACCTTGGCTCTTTTATGACTCGTGGACTTCAACTCCCAGAATTCCTGAGCCAGCTAAGCTGGCTCAGGAATTCTGGGAATTGAAGTCCACGAGTCATAAAAGAGCCAAGGTTGACTACCCCTGGTTTAGTGCAAACAAAGTTCTAATTTATTTAGCCCTACTAATCAGATTCGGAATGGAAAAGGATTGCCGTTTGCAGTGCAACCTATTATCAGAGTAATAATAGAGTTGCTCTTAATGGAAATTGGTCCCAATTAAGTCATCTTTCTTCGACCAATTGCTACAGGTTTCCAGAGATGATGGTATTGCCTCACCAGCCACTGATATGCGTGGAAGCAGTGATGTGGTGGAAGGAGGAAGGATGGCTCTAGATAACAAGACGTCTCTGCTCAACACCCAGCCCCCACGTGCCTTTTCTGGACCCCGAGCTCGAGAGTACAACCCTTACCCCTACTCTGATACCATTAGCACCTATGATAAAACTGCTCTTAAGGAAGCCGTATTTGATGATGATATGGATCAGATTCGCGATGGTTGGTTTTCATTTATTTTCTTAAATTCAGTATTGAACTTATTGTTGCCTTAACATTTACACATTGGTGTTAAACTGTTATAGAATATCGTACTGACACTAGCTTCTTGAATTCAGTTTTTTACATCATTTCTTAATCAGCCTTGCTGGAATAAGTAACAGTATCTTGCTCCTGGGCAAATGATTCAGCTAGGTGGTACAGCAACCACAGGCTCATCTTTCAATTCTAATAATGAGACTTGGGCCCTGACATTCTGTAAGTGGTCTTCTACATTCATATCAGTAAAGAAGACAGGCTCCAAAAGTCATTTTTTTTGTGAACTGAAAGCTATATATGGTTAAAGGAAAAGCCATGGGAACAGAACCTTCATATGTTTTCATCTGGCTCCCCCTGCCTGCTCAGAATTGCTTTATGAGCATATAGTGACAAGTGGCAAAACTGGGAATCAATTGTTAGAGACTGAATAGATTTAGATTATAGATAAAATCTTTGTACTTAAAAGAACTCGGAGACAGATTATGTTTATAGACTCGTTAAAAATATTGTGTATAAGTCCTACCATCACCTGTTAAACTTCTTGCTTATTTTTCTTTCCAGTGAAATTACTTTTTCACTTTTTTCTTCTCAGTGCCCATTGATCATTCTGACTTGGTGGCTGATCTTTTAAAAGAATTATCCAATCATAATGAGCGTGTAGAAGAACGGAAAGGAGCCCTTCTTGAATTATTGAAGATTACAAGAGAAGATAATCTGGGAGTTTGGGAGGAACATTTTAAGACAATTTTGCTTTTATTACTTGAAACACTTGGAGATAAAGATGTAAGATAATGCTATAGGGTTTGCTATGCCTCATAGATACTTACCACCTGCACTGTCATTACAGCATATGTGGCTAACATTTAGATGGTGTTCTCTGTTTTCCTTAGTTTAATCTGGCTTCCACAGTCTCAGAAATGCCAACCATTTGGCATTTATTTAACCCCACCTCCAGTTTCTCCAAGGGAGCATCACCCTGATATTGTGACACTTGAAATTTGTATTTCTCAAATGCATGGTACATGTTGGAACATTATTGCTGCGCTACTCACTTCCTTTACCAGACATCTCTCCAGTTGAGGAGGGGCCCCCAGCACAGAGTACTTTACTCAAGATTCACACCTGTTATTTTTTGCCATTTGTTTCTATCAGTACTTCTTGTCATCGGATATTCAAAGTTTAAATTGGGACAAATCAAGTGTTAGCTTGGGAGTTGCAGAGATGAATACCAAACCATGGGGACATACTTAACATAGTTCAGTCTGAGGAAGCTAAACCATATGCTGGGTTGAACTAGTCAATGGTTGAAATGGCTCTCATCCAAAAACATATCTCAACTATTACATAACCTGAAATGTTATCTAATATTCTAATAATGATCTTCTTGGATAAAGGTGTCGGTGACTAGAGAGGAATAGGACTGAATGAAAAAACTAATAGCGATCTCCAAAATAATTGGATAGATATATTTGTGCAAAACTTGGAAGGCTGCTTTAGCTTCCTTTGTTACTAATAAGATAGTATTTTTCTTCATTACCAAATAAGTTCCAAGGAAATGAAACTTGAGTTTTTAGATTTTTTATGTATTTCAAAAAGACACTGAACCAGAAATGGTTATGTAATAAATCTGTTTGGTATTCTCTTTGATACACAGTTTAGTGGGTGGCTTATTTTATACATTGATATAATATAAAAGATCCCAATATTTATTAGCAGTTACTTAGTTCTCGTGCAAAAATACTATTGATTTTTGCTAATGAACTTGGGCCCATGATACAAGGCTACTGTGGTGTTCACTTCTGAGCCTTGTTGATTTTTCTTGATTTAAACATTTGATTTTATAAAATATGTATCCATTCTAGTCAAGCAATGCATTCCTTGCATTGATGATTTTGAAGAGTGAAATGACTTCAAGGCACCCAGAGTCGCTTGTTAGTGAAATGAGAGGCATATAAATTTAATAAATAAAGATGTGCTATTTCTTTTATTTAGCATTCAATACGAGCCTTGGCACTGAGAGTTTTGCGAGAAATTCTGAGGAACCAACCAGCAAGATTTAAGAACTATGCTGAACTAACTATCATGAAGACCCTAGAAGCGCATAAAGATTCTCATAAAGAGGTAATTCTGAGTGTCATACTATAGTTTAAGAATCAATGTGTCTATAGGTCATGCCTTACTATTAATTCCAATAAGTTTAAGTTTAAATGGAATGAAGAGAAAAATAAATCACACTTAATGGAATTCCTAACCTATAGTTCTGACTATTTCCATACATTATTGACTGTGGCTGTAAATTTACTTTACTTGTGGGTCTGCATTTAAAGAATTTACCTAGCTCAGGAGCCACTTTTTAGCCATATATGGCCCTAAGACACTCTATCTGCAGCCTCTAGGACCTACAAAACCATCTTAATGGGTACATGTTTCAGGGTTTAAAAAACAGAATATTGGTTTAGTTTATCCAAATGAAAAAAAATGTCCATAGGTCCAAAAATTTCAGACCCACCTACTTTGCAGGTATTCCTCAAGTAGTATTGTTGTTTCCCCAACCCCCAAGTTCTTGCCAGAACTTCAGTGACAAATAAGATGAAATGAAGAATATGAAAACATTCAACCTATTTCAACACATCATATTTTATGTTTAATCTACACATCATATTTTTTGTTTAATCTTACTGTGATATTTTTTTAAAACTAGCTTTAGTCCTGTATATATTTTTGCATTTATTTAGACCATGACTCTCCAGGTTTATTACAGGACTGTAATCTTTCTAATTGAAGGCAGTTGAGTTAAGGGTACGCAATTCTGTATAGAATAGTGAAAACTTAAATACATAAACAAAAAAAGAGCTTTTGACCCTAGAATAGGAATAAAGAATAAGCTGCATTATACATCTATTTAGCTGTTTACAGGAGTGTGGTTTTAAACACATGATGACTTACTCAGTTAAACAAGTAACGTGGGAACAAAAGCCATAAGGATTGTGGTGAAAGGCCAGGAAAGATTTAATCCTTTTAATAAATCAGCATGTCTTTATTATGTTTTCTTGGAATCAGAGTCTTCATACAACAGCTTTCTGTGTATGTGTAGCCACAATTAGCAACAGTTGTAACAGATTTTGCGATAAAGCACTTGGACAAAACATTTTGTTCTTAAGGAGTGCCTTTGTTGGCAAGCTTCTCCCTACTGTGCATTCTTGTTGTCTCACCTTGACTTTGTGCCTTTGTCCATTTCTTTGTGAATTACCTGTGCAAATGATTGAGAAAGCTTGTCCTCTCCAGCATCACTTTAATATGGACTCACACAACCTGAAACTACACAAAGAAGGATCAGAATGAACAGGGCATGGGGAACTTAAATTCTAGGATAGAATCTTTAGCTTTTTGAAAAGTCATCTGCAACGAGGATGCAATAGCATTCTTCAGGTACCTAAAAGCTCAGAAGAGAATCCTGACTTGTTTAAATTACAGGAAGATACATTCAAGTGTAACTTAGGACACAAAACACTACAGTAAGACCACCTAAACAGTAGAATTTCCCTTTGCTGGACATCTTTAAGCAAAGTCTGGATAGAGACGTGCTGATCGCACAGTTGGGACTTGATGAGCTAACTTTCCAATGTTTTGATTTTATATAATTTTACAAAGCATAATTATCAAAATACCTTAACGTTATCTATATTCTATATTTTTGTGCTTCATTTTATACCTCAAGCAGCTTTCATTCTCATAAGTGTATCTTCTTTATAATACCAGTTAGTACCAGTTATTATGAGTGAAATGAATGAAATAAATGCACATCATATGTGTGGAAATATATATATATAGGGGCTATATGTATATGTATTTATGTTATGGATGATTTAGAATGCCAATGAAAGAAAATATATGGCTACTAACATATTTAATCTATTGAACAAAAATATGGAAGACATTGATTCACATCTAAATAACATTAGAATAGGCAGCTACATTGCTGTGCAAAAATCTATCCTGTGCTGCACAGTTCCTTCTGCAGTTCTTACTTATGTATATAGAATATGCTAACCAGAATAAAGTCTGGGTAGAAAATTCACCTTTTATTTATGATGGATATCTGAATACATTCAGAGCAAACAAATCATTTTGACAAATATATTAACTTTATTTGCTCTCCATTTATTACAGTGAAGATCTTCACAGTTACCATCATACCCTAAAATGCAGAATATACAAGTTTAAGATAAGTCATTGGAATCAGAGTATGGTCACGCCTACTTTTTCCTTAATATTTCCTTCAGCAGTATGTTAATCTGCAATAATTAGTTCTTCTGATCTGTTTGGTAAATACAGAACTAAGTTTCCTATGCTCACCACTGTTGATGGCAATGGCAGAATTTTTTTATAGTGTTCTGATAGAAAAATGTATTCAGAAATGTTCAGTCACTGAGACAACCAATATAATATAATAAGCTTGCTGTTGCCTATACTCATGGTTCTTAAGGATGGGAAGGCACTATTTTTTGTAATGCTATAACTTTAACAATTGTCTGCTTGTCTTTCTCAATCCACTATAGGTTGTGAGAGCTGCCGAGGAAGCAGCTTCCACACTGGCTAGTTCCATCCACCCAGAACAGTGCATCAAAGTCCTTTGTCCCATCGTTCAAACAGCTGACTATCCAATTAATCTGGCTGCTATTAAAATGCAAACTAAAGTCATTGAGAGAATCTCGAAGGAGTCATTACATCAGCTCCTACAAGACATCATCCCTGGATTGTTGCAGGTATGCTTCTGTGGATGGAATTGTTCAGTTGCTCCAAGCAGCAAATATCATTTTTATTTATTTTATGTTGGTGTCTCACAAATTATAAGACTTACTAAATTGAATGAAATAATAGTAAGAAATTAGAATGTAATGCATTGTCAGTGTATATGACAGTGATGACGAACCTTTTAGAGACCCAGTGCCCAAACTGCAACCCAAAACCCACTTATTTATCACCAGGTACTGGGTGGGCGTGGCCACGGTGGTCATTGCAGACTGGAGAGGCGGGGCCAGGGTGGCGGGGGCCAATCCCTCACCATCTCGGGGGCATGGCATGCGTGCCCACAGAAAGGGCTCTGAGTGCCGCCTCTGGCACACGTGCCATAGGTTCACCACCACTGGTATATGAGGAACCTTTGGGCTAAGAACCTGTTTCAACCTTAAATCCATCCAAAGCCACCACCACTCTTTGCCAACCATGTTGCATCTTGTTGGGTGGAAAAGCAAGTTGGGGGCAGAGATGGTAAAAACAGGTATCAGGGGAGTCAGCTTTCTGTGGCTCTGCAGGGCAGTTCTCTTGATTTGAAAAACCATGCTCTTTTGTATGGAACATGTCTTTGCACAGAAAAAATGGACGGCTTCAAGGGCCAGTCCCAACCCTAACCCAAGCAGCTTCTTGGATGAGAAGCAAAATATCTTCAAAGAAAAACAACCAGGGACATCCATGATCTAAATGATTGAGAATCTCCATAGACTTCAAGGGCCAGGGGAGGATTCCTATCCAATCCTCCTACGCTCATCCTTGTTCTAACTTTAAAAACAGTTTATTGAATCAATCTCTGCTTCTTTCCCATTGCTGCTTTAAAAGCCTTTAGATGTGGCAACCAGTAAGACCTCCAACTCTCACAATTTTTTTCAGGCTAATTTGCTATTTTCAGACAGACAGCAGTCAGAGAACGGTTGAGTTTCCTTTATCACCTTCACTAAATATTTCATTCAGGCAAGTTTTTGTTTATTTAGAGAAATCCATTCTGGAAACTCTCAAAAGTACAATCAGAACAGTCACTCTGAACCTCCCTAGTTGTTTGATGAAGAAAGGTCAGTTTCTGCTAAATGGTTACAAACAGATTAAGTAAGCTCTAATCCTGTGACAGCATTCAAGTAAATTTCTTGGAGTCTGTTTCTCTCTCTTCCTCCCCCCCCCCCATCCCCCTTCCTCTGAGGCACAAGCCTCTTTACGGTCAATCTTAGCATCTGGTAAGTTTCTCTCTGCTTTTAACTGAGGGGTTATGAATCACCTCTCCAGTAAAAGGCTTGAAGATGTGGATGGTAAAGTTAATATAAACTCTGAGAATACAGACATTGTCGATGAGGTTCCAAAGAAGTCCTTTATTTGCACTCATTGTCTTTCTTGCCTCTCACAAGCTAATTGAAGGTCGAAATGGCCAAAGGGAATTCTAGTCTCCCAAAAGGCTTTTCAAAGATCAGAATAAAGTTGGGGGTCAAATGTCATCTTTGTTTGTTGGTTTCGTTTATAAAATGTCTGTTCAGTGGTTTTTTGTTTTTGTTTTTTGAACAGTCTTAAAGCACTAAAAGTACTGGTTATCACTTTTACATAGCATGGGTCAAATTACTTGTGAAACTGCAGATAAATTATTGACATATAACCATTTGTTTAGTGACTGCTCAAAGTTACAGTGACTGTTTTTCACACTTATAATTGCTGCTTATAATTGCCCTTAGTTGTGTAATCAAAATTTAGATACTTGTCATTTGTTGTGTATTCATGACAGTTGCAGTGTCCCTTGGTCATGTGATCACCTTTTGCGACCTTCTGACAAGTAGTCAATGAGGAAGCTAGAGTCACTTAATAACCTTGTTACTAACTTAACAACTACAGTGATTCACTTAAGAAGTGTGGCAAGAAAGGTCATAAAATGAAGCAAAACTCACTTAACTGTCTTAGCAACAGAAACTTTGGGTTCAATTGTGGTCATAAGTCAAGCCCTACCTGTAATGTCTATATCAGGTATCCTAGTAAAGAACAGCTTAGCACCGTGTGTGCTTGTAAAGAGTATGGAATGACATGAATGTGATATTTCTCAGTTACTTCAACAGATGGGTGGGTGTTCGCCAGGAATGTTTTTTCTCTGTGTGCGTGTGCATGTGTATTGTGCATTTTCTCTGCATGTATGTGGGTACTATATGTTTTGGGGGGTATTAAGTGTTTTTCCTGTCTTTTGTGAATTGTGGGCTGTGGTACAACTGCCTGTTTATTGGATGTTATTTTTTCTGGATGATTATGTTTTATTTCTCTATTTTTTTGGAACATTAGTTTCTCCTGGCATGCTTAGGCCTTCAGTGGATTGACAAAGAGATTGGATGGGCAGACTGCTTTGAGCTCCTTGGAGAAAGGCAGGATAGGAATTGAATACATACAGTACATATATAAAAAGAAAACAAATAAGTACCACATCTTTTGGGTCAGATGTAACGAATAATAATGAGACTGAATTAATATGCTACCGTGTTTCCCTGAAAGTAAGACCTACCCCGAAAATAAGCCCTAGCTAATTATAACAATGAGACTAAATTAATATTAGTTTTAACTGGAGTTTGTTGAACACTGTGATCTGATTCTCGCATAATGCAAAGTTGCTATGCGTGATTTAGAAACTACAATGATTGGTTCACACATTAATAGCTGCATATATGTTTGTTTAAACTTAACTGTTCTTGCCCAATCCTTAGGTTTCATAAGCAAGTATTGATGCCTTTTTAGAATTTACAGTTCTTATTCCAAAGGGTATCTAAGGGGAGATTGTACAGCACAAGCTATTAAATGTATGAAGAGCAGAAAAATGATCATTGGTAAAAAAAATTCCTAGTTCCTTTATTCCATTGTAGACTCCAAAGGCCATTTTTCATGTTTTAAAAATGAAGTATCAGTTGGTTTTTATGCAGGTTAGCTTGTATTATATGGTTTAGCTCTGAACTACCACTTGTTCAGTCGCTCTTGTTAGTCCTTCCTTGCTCTCTGTGTCAGATCCTCTAACTCGGGCATGTCAAACTTGCGATGTTGCGTGACGTCACGCAACGTATCGTGACTTTTTCCCCATTGCCAGCAATGGTGTGGGTGCACTTTCGGTGTGACATATCCGGCCTGCAGGCTGGCAGTTTGACATGCCTGCTCTAACTAAATGGTTTAAGTTGCATGTTTGAAAATCAGTTCATTTTTATGTCTTTTAGTCATTCAGCATGTAAGAAGCATGAAATAGTCCATTTAGTCTGGCCATGTGTTTAGTAACTTGTAGATATATTACATCAATGTTTCTCAACCTTGGCAACTTTAAGATGGACGGACTTCAACTCCCAGAATTCCTCAGCCATCCATGCTGGCAGGAGAATTCTGGGAGTTGAAGTCCGTGCATCTTAAAGTAACAGAGGTTGAGAAACACTGTATTACATGGTGGTACAGTGAGAGAAAAAATTATTTGATCCCCTGCTGATTTTGTACATTTGCCCATTGACAAAGAAATGATCAATCTATAATTTTAATGGTAGGTTTATTTTAACAGTGAGAGACAGAATAACAACCACAAAAATTCAGAAAAATACATTTCAAAAAATTAAAATCAATTTGCATTTTAATGAGTGAAATAAGTATTTGACCCATTCGCAAAACATGACTTAGTACTTGGTGGCAAAACCCTTGTTGGCAATCACAGAGGTCAGAGGTTTTTTGTAGTTGGCCACCAGGTTTGCACACATCTCAGGAGGGATTTTGTCCCACTCCTCTTTGCAGATCCCTCTCCAAGTCATTAAGGTTTCGAGACTGACGTTTGACAGTTTGAACCTTCAGCTCCCTCCACAGATTTTCTATGAGATTAAGGTCTGGAGATCGGCTAGGCCACTCTAAGACCTTAGTGTGCTTCTTCTTGAGCCACTCCTTTGTTGCCTTGGCTGTGTGTTTTGGGTCATTGCCGTGCTGGAATACCCATCACGACTCATTTTCAATGCTCTGGCTGAGGGAAGCAGGTTCTCACCCACGATTTGACGGTCCATGGCCCCATCCATTGTCCCTTTGATGCGGTGAAATTGTCCTGTCCCCTTAGCAGAAAAACACCCCAAAAGCATAATGTTTCCACCTCCATGTTTGACGGTAGGGATGGTGTTCTTGGGGTCATAGGCAGCATTCCTCTTCCTCCTCCTCCAAACATGGTGAGTTGAATTTATGCCAAAGAGCTCAATTTTGGTCTCATCTGACCACAACACTTTCACCCAGTTCTCCTCTGAATCATTCAGATGTTCATTGGTAAACTTCAGACAGGCCTGTACATGTGCTTTCTTGAGCACGGGGACTTTGAGGGCGCTGCAGGATTTCAGTCCTTCATGGCGTAGTATTACCAATTGTTTTCTTGGTGACTATGGTCCCAGCTGCCTTGAGCTCATTGACAAAATCCTCCCGTGTATTTCTGGGCTGACTCCTCACCATTCTCATGATCATTGAAACTCGACGAGGTGAGATCTTGCATGGAGCCCCAGACCGAGGGAGATTGACAGTTATTTTGTGTTTCTTCCTTTGCCAATAATTGCACCAATTGTTGTCACCTTCTCACCAAGCTGCTTGGCGATAGTCTTGTGTAGGTCTACAATCTTGTCTCTGGTATCCTTGAACAGCTCTTTGATCTTGGCCATGGTGGAGAGTTTGGAATCTGATTGATTGATTGCTTCTGTGGACAGGTGTCTTTTATACAGGTAACAGGCTGTAAGAGAGTGCTCTCCCTTTAAGAGAGTGCTCCTAACCTTGTTACCTGTATAAAAGACACCTGGGAGCCAAAAATCTTGCTGATTGATAGGGGATCAAATACTTATTTCACTGATTAAAATACAAATCACTTTATGACTTTTTTGAAATGCGTTTTTCTGGATCGTTTTGTTGTTATTCTGTCTCTCACTGTTAAAATAAACCTACCATTAAAATTATAGACTGTTCATTTCTTTGTCAGTGGGCAAACGTACAAAATCAGGGGATCAAATATTTTTCCCCCTCACTGTACATAGTAATTTTATCCATTTAGAAGGGTGGCTACAAAATACAAGTTACCTGACTGATCTGGTTTTGTTGAGGAACATGTATTTGCCTTACAAAGAAATGAAATGCTTCCTCTATGCTCTATGAGAGAATATCCTGAATGCTGAACTGTTCGTCACTAATGCTAAGTGACAATGTATACTGCCTGATTATTTGGGGTGATAATATTTAATTCTAAGGAGACGGAAAGGTGAATCTTGTTGAAATGCAGATTTGCAGAACAGCAAAATAAAGCAGAAGATAAAGCATTCCATCTGGGTAAATCAGTTTGCGGGGTGGGGGCGGGAGCAGCACCTGAACTAAAAAAAAAATGTTGCTTTTTATTCAGTCCCTTACCAGAGGCTAAAGTCAAATCAAAGCCACAAGGATGATGAATGGTCACACTTTGGCTATGTTGACCAGCATGAATTCCCTCCCCCCCCCCTTTTTCAGTTGGTTTGTCATAGTTAATGGAATTAATAGAAACCATAAAAACCATGTAAGAAACATAGAGTTGTGTAAGTTAGGGCAGCAAGTCATCTTGTCAAACTGGAAGAGGATATTATGCATTCAGATATCTAGAAATGTAAAACATAGCTATTTAACCTCCTGCTTCATTTGCAGAAAGGAAACTTAATCTGATCTTGCCTTATGAATACTGTTCCCCAGCAAGGGCTGTAGTAGCAGATAAGAGTGGGGAAAAAAACTAGATGTATGGGCTGAAAATCCTTGTAACCTTCTCCCAACAGAGGTCACTCTGAGCCCAAGGCATAAGCAAAACATGAGTTCAGCATGTCTCTTTCTGTTTTATTACTATCTTTTCAAAGAGCCATTTAATAGAATATTTTTACAATTATATTATTTAATTACCATGTACAGGCCAGATGCCCTTTACAGGTAGTCCTCAAGCTCCGAATGTAATGGAGCCTGCCCATTCCATTCGTAACTTGAGGATTTGTAGGAGTGAATCTCATACCTTGAACGTGATTCACTCCCACGCATTCGCTAATTTAATGCATGGGCAAATGCACAGCTCGTTAAGTGAACATGAGGTATCTCAAGGTGGAAAAGGCCACGGAAGGGCCTAGTGATGGAACAGGCCATCTTCAGACCACTCAAGCCCTCCCCCCAAGATATATCATGCTCCCTCCCCTGGGGGTCCCCACAATTGCTCCCTCGGCCAATCCTGCCGTGCTGGGTGAAGATCTGTCTCCTCTCCAGCCTCTCTGTTTCTTTCTCTGCTTCCGGCAAGAACGGACCTCTGGAAGCACGCGGCCGCCGCCCACAGCCTCCATTCTGGGCCTCGGCCTGGTGGAGGTCTCCACGGCCCAGAAGCGTCCCCTGGCCTCCTTTCTAGGAGGCAGCGGCCTGGAAAAGGCCTCTGACGCCAGGATCGGGCTTCCAGAAGTCTGTAGGAGCATCCCCCAGCTTTCGTTCCATTTTCTTTTGCAGAGAACAGAGGTCTAAACTACCGTGAGATCACGCAAAATCAGTAGCATGAGATCTCATGCCACTGATCTCGCGTGATCATGCATTATTTTAGACCTCCATTCTCTGCGAATGCACCGAAGGCCTGGAGCAGCCAAGAAAGCAAAGGATTTGTCGATGAGTATCCACAGGCCTAGTGCCTAGGGAGACCCGGGGGGGGGGGGGGGGGGAATAGCCAGGGTGAATGTTGCAGTGCTACTGTGGTCATTCGTAAAGGTGAACAACTTTGCCTTGGTGTGGGAATATTCGTAATTTTGGAACTGCTTTGTAAAAATTAGGGGGCGCTTATTGTTCAAACATTCAAATGTTTGCTAAGGGAATGCTCGTAACTCAAGGATTGCCTGTATTGAAGCTCTGCTTCAACTGCAGAATATAGCCTTCTCATAACTTAAATCAGGTGTGGACAACTTACTTTCTGATATATTACCACATAAGTCTGTCATGAACCAAACTACATGCAATTGGTAAAAAAAAAAAGAGGTTACCGTAATCTATTTATTTGAAACCTACTTTTCTCCCTCCTTTTTTATCTTCACACAGACAGTCAAGGAAAGGTAGATCACTTTATCAGAGATCTGAACTGATTCATTGTAAAAGACGTATAAAATTAGATTAGTGGGCTTCATAAAACCAAGGAATGGGACAATATACTTAAGTGTGTTTATGTGCTTATTTTATTTGAGAGAGCAGTCTTTCCAAATAGCAAGGAATAGACCTACATGTTGTGATTTCTTTTCCTCCCATACCACAGTACATTTTCCTACATTTTCTTATAAAATTAAAGCAAGCTAACAATCTGTATGATAAATTTGAAACATTTGCTTACAATTAAAATTCCAGATTATTTTTACCCCAAATACTGCTAAATTAGATCTGAGTTTTGGACTGAACCAATGAATTATTTTGAATCATTAATTTTTTCAGATGTAAATCTAATGACAAACATGTGTAGCTTCATTATATTTTGATCATTCCTAATTGTGATCTGAGCTGGTAAATACAAACAGAATAATATTCAAACAGATCCCCTGAGAAAACTAGGGTAGGGAGGAAAATGAAAATCTGAAAGCTAAAAGACAAGTAATCAAATTTAATCAACGGGACCTCAATATGTTTATTAACCACAGATTTTCAGTTTGTTTTGGACAAACAGAATAAAAAGCCCATAGAAAAAGTATGGGAACTGTTTTCTGAACAGGGCTGAAATGTTATGAACTTAAGTATCATACTTCAATATTTGGTCCTGGTACTACATTAATCTCCATTTTTCTGCCCATCGGCAGGCCATTCTGCTATTAATATTGTACTTTAAAGGACATATTATCACAGTAAAATTATTTAGAATCACAGTTAGCATTTGAGTTTTGAAAACTGCAAGTATAGGAATTCTTTACAACATAAGGTTGATTTGGTCTTCCTGGAATTAATTAGCTAAAATGCTGCATTACAAAGCTGAATGAGTTTCTGTTTATCTGCTAGAAACTAACAGGCTACAACGAAGTTTGGCCAAAGTTTGATTATGGAGAAAAAAACAGCTTAATCCAGAAACTTTCGGGGCTTGGTTTTGTACATGGACTTTTCTATCCATTCTGTGAATTTATGTAAGTTAATTATTTAGTTAACTGGGCTCACATGTCATTCCAGTCAGTACCAACCCTGAGTGGCTTCTGTACTTAAAATATGTAAACAGGATTAAAATAGAAGGCATCCCC